ATTGTGGCCATATTATCTGACTCTTCTGATCGTTGCTAGGATTCATGAAACAGGTGAACAGTGATATCTTTTTGAGTGAACATCCTACATACTGATACCATAAAATTATCTAACTTCACATTTTAAAAAGTCTGCATCTGACATCTGTTTAACTGTGCATAAACATTTTTGGCAGACTGTAAAACATGTATCTTGATCTTGTAAGGGAGGAAATAAATCATATTCTAAGCACTTGCTAGTAATCTCCTCTGAAGAGCAATGATTACTAATTACCTGCTTCAGAAAGAAAAAACCAATACCCCATGAACAGAAATTACTACTTGCTTCAGAAATAAAAAATCTACATTCTTTGGACATGTGATGAGAAGGGAATTACTGCAGTACATGTGACAAAGGGAAAGATGGTTGGACATGTGATGAGAAGGGGGTTACTGCATTACATGTGACAAAGGGAAAGATGGAGGTCAAGTCAGACAGAGGAAGACAAAAAGAAGATGGTAGAAAGTTTGGCAACATGGCATGGAAAACCATCTCTACTAAAAATGACTGACAATACATGAGACAGAAGGCTGTGGAAGACATGATTACCAACAATGCATGGCAGGGACTATATGAAAAAGAATCATCTCCTTCACTGCCAGGTCCAAGCTTGCGTGAGAATGGAGGAATGTTGGGTATGGGACCAGTCTGCATTCTCCTAAAACAGCCACTCTAAAGTTACAGAAACCTGTTTAAAAAAAAAATTAAATTAAAAAAAAAAGCACAGAATAGAAAGGAATTGAGGAACCAACTATGAGACTCATGAGATATATACCAGTACAACAGGATAATGAGTGAAAGAATGAATTATTGGCATGTAAACGTTTGATTTTCTAATAAATAATAAGCAAGACTACCAATTAAAATGGAGTTCAAATTCACCACGTCATGGAATCTTATATTATTATATGGCACAGAGACAGAACTATGAACAAACAGTGAAAGAAAAAAAAAATGCACTAAAAATGTAAGCATAAATAAACATTGGAAGGACAACATGGACAGATAACATAAATGCTGAGTTTCTGAACATAAAAAAATATTACTTAGATTTAAAATAAAAATAAAAAAGATACTGCTAGAAAGGTTTGAAGTGTCAGACCAGCAGAAATAAAATTTTTAATTAAACATAATGATATGAGGTGGTTAGTTCCTTTCTTCTCACCTTTTCTCCAGGGGAGAAATTCTAACAAATTCTATTTTTTATCAGGCTGAAGCAACCTGAGAGCTGACTGAAAAAAAAAACCCAGTCATTTCTGCACTAGGTAAGCATACTAATCCTAGGCCACAGAAACTTTACTTAAACAGGATCAAAGTGAAATAATAATATTTCCTGGCACATAAAAAGATCTAATACACCATAAATCAATCAATCAATAAGTTTGTCCCCTCTGGGCAACAGCCTAAAGATTTACCAAACCAACCTGAGATTTGCAAATCTCAACCTGGACGGCAGACCAGCATGGCAGACCCCAGATACCCTAACTCAGTGGTTCTCAAACTGGGTGTCATGGCACCTTGGGGTGCCGCGAGTGTATGTCAGGGGTGCCACTGCAATAATCAAGAATGTTTCAAAATCTGCTTGAGATCAGCGAATAAGCAGTTTAAAACAGAAATACCGTGAAGGGAGCCAAGAAGAGTTCTGGGTGTAGGTGTATTCAGAAGACAATGCTATTGGCAAGGCTGCAGTAAATTCTCAACATATGCTTACATTAAAAAACAGATACAGGAGCAAACTTTCTGGGTCAAGTGATTTGAGGGTAAAATTAACTAAACTTCCCATAAATAAAAAGGAAATAATTTTTTTTTTATGTATCCAAACAGTTTCATTCATCGCATAAAGACATCTGAACATTAAATTTACACAGTTTTTCCTTATTTTCCTAAGTATTAACTGCTGACAGAGACGTCTGGAAATCTCTCTGACAAACCTCTACACCCCAAGGTAGAAGAGGGGCAACTAAGTAAAGTAAGTAGTTCCTAAGTATTCAAACTGCTTTCAGAGTAGGTGTGCTGCGGAAACATTTTTGCCTGACAAGCGTGCAGTGGCGAAAAAAAAAGTTTTGAGAAACGCTGTCCTAACTAACCTGACACGGCATGGACTATTAAGTAAAGTAAAGTAAATGAAAGGAAATTTTTCCTTGCTTCAGATGTACTGGGCACATAGGGCTAGATCTATATTATAAAGACCAATCAGCACTCAGTGGGTGATGTGGTCAAAATCACGCCGGCGACCTTTATTTCCTAGAAGTTTACCTGGTACCCATTTAAAGCTGAGTCGACCTGGGAGCCAAGGTCATTTTTTTTTAAAAGTCTGGCTCTGTCAGTACCTGAACTCATGACCTTCGGATCTGCAGAGAAGCATGTAGTCGTTACACCACAACGGCTCCCTCATAAAATATAAGATTTTTAAAAATTACAATAATTATTATAAAAACTGACTGCTCCTGCAAAGCTAAAATCTCAATGACTATGAATAAATGATTTTTTTTTAAAAATAAGAAAAACATTGCTTCTCATCATCAAAGATAACTACATTTTAAGACAAAATTTCAAGAGATCAGCAGTCATCAGTGACAAAGCAAAGCAATCAAAAAGAACAATGAATGCTTCTGCTGTGTTTTTTTAACATGTGCATGGTTTAAAAAAAAAGTTTTTAAAACTGTTAGCATTAAAAAAAATATGTTATCAAAATTAGGCGTGGCAAACAATCATTGTAAAACATGACCTCTCACAGAACTTTTATTGAACTCATTCTGTTTAAAGGAATGTACAATGTTTAATTGTTACTTCATATAAAATGTTTTTTGTCTAACTTCAGTTGTCAAGTCCATTCCTTACATCAGTGGTTTTCAATCTGGGGGCATGTCCCCTTAGGAAGGTGCAAGAATGTTTCAAGGAAGATAGATATCTAGCAATTATTAAATTGAATGCATCTGTAGTTTTAACAATAAGTTGAACTAACATCTGTTTTCCAGTTTAATCATAAATAAAATATTTGTTACAAACTATCTACAAAACAAAAAGCCGAAGATATTTTGTTTTCATGTTTTGTCCATCTAAAGTGAAAAATCTAATTAATACACTAACATGAGCTTTTGATTATAGCTTAAGAACACATTCTCACCAAAACGTATCTCTAAGTTCTTGTTAACAGTGCTTCAGAATGTTTTGTGTTCTTTTTTTAATCAGATTTTCTTGTAAAAAAATTTAGGATGGAGGTGGATGCTGGGGTGGGGAGGTGAGTTTATATATTCAAGAGAGCACCGCATCACCTGAAAAAAAAAATGTTGAAAACCACTGGTTTATATTAACTATATATTCTGGGAACTGGTAGACCAGAAGCTAGACAGATGCTTGCCTGTCTGCACAACAGTTTAAAGTTCAAATCTGCACCAAGGCAGATTTTTATACAATGACTTTGGCTCCAAAGTTGACCCAGCCTAAAATGGGTACCAGGAAACATCCTGTGAAGCAAAGGCAGCTGGGGCAATTTTGACCACATCCCTCATAGAGTGCCAATTGGTCTTCAAAGACATGGGTCTAGCTCCTCGCTGTCAATGATGTGATGAAGATCCTTTACTGTACAATATATTCTCACTTTAAACCTTTTTTTTTTTCTAACTTAAGTAGATCAAGTGTTCATTATGAAAAGCAGCAACTGGTTACTTTAGAATGAGTTAAAATAATAACTGTCAGTGGCTGAAAATGTTAATGAAGTTCATTTGATGTACTATCTGAGAGAGTTAATGATGTTCATTTGACTTACTGTCTGAGAGAGGTAATGATGTTAATCTGATCTACTATCTGAAAGCGTTATTGATGTTAATTTGATCTACTGTCTGAGAGATTTAATGATGTTTATTTGATCTACTATCTGAAAGAGTTAACGAAGTTCATCTGATCTACTATCTGAAAGAGTTAATGAAGTTCATCTGATCTACTATCTGAAAGAGTTAATGAAGTTCATTTGATCTACTTTCTGAAAGAGTTAATGAAGTTCATTTTATTTACTATCTGAAAGAGCTAAATGAATAAGTTTATTTGATCTACTGTCTGAAAAAGCTAATAAAGTTCACTTGATCTACTATTTGAAAGAATTAAAGAATAAGTTAATTTTATCTAGTATCATATTTGCAGATTTACTCTCATGTCTCAGTCTCATCATCATCAAGTGCCCTGATGTCTGATATAGGCAATCAGAATATTTATTTTTCACTTTTCCTTCTCCAACAACATATCACTGGCACCTAAATGCAGTTTTGGCAATGTTTACCTTAGTGCATTTTCAGGGCTGTAATTTGTAACTTTATGATATGCCATAGGTACATATGTACATTCCCACTCCAAATAGGTTAAAATGAAGTATTACTTTCTTATGCAATTGTTTAATCCAAACTTGTCACTCAAGTGAATTGTCTCAAAACAAGAATTTAGCATTTATATGACTCAGATAGTGTTATTTAGCAAGTAGGTTATTTTGGCGAAATGCCAACAATATATCATTTTTGAAGTGCTGATGACCATCCGTGCCATGATACAAGGCTGACAAGAATTGCCTCGCCCTGTCAACCACTATCTTTTTTTCTATAAATCTGTACAGTTGATGGAATACAGTTGTTCCCTTATTATAATGAGGCCAAACAATTATGACTGCCTCTTTCTGTTTCTCATATCTTTTTGCCTTCGCCTCTTTCAGAACATCTAGATTATTCTTTTTGCCTTATTAAGGAATTCTAAGCAGCAATCTTCTGTAAAACCACATCCTTGAGGCATCTAGGAATTTCATAGCTTTTTAATAAATTGTCTAGGATTCAAAACTTGGTTCTCTGTTGTACATTAAAAAAAAATTCCTAACATGAAATGACAAGTGTTTATTGCAAAAGATTTTCTTAATCTTATAAAATGCAGTTTTTGACTTGTTTTGTTCTTTATCTCTGGGATATATCCTCTGTTGAAGCTCAATCTGCTTTAATGCCATGTTCAAAGATTGCAAAGACATACTGCCGGAACCATTTGTATGCGTAGGTGCCATTTCTAGGAAATGTGCCTTCCAAGAAACCAATGTGGCCTCCGTGTGATGTCTTAATAATGGCAATGTTGTCATTTTGCATGGCATCTTTAAGTGGAATTGCTGAAAGGAATAAAAATTCAACTGTTCAGTAATATTACCAGAAAAAGAAAAAATTTAAAAAATTAGTCAGTCAGTCAGGTGCCGTCTCCACAGTGAAGGTTGACTGCGATGGATCTCCAACATGCTCTGTCTTTTGTCCTGGTTGTACACTCTCTCAGACTGCTGCCCGACCATCTCTTGATGTTGTCCACCCACTTGTATCATTGCCCACCTCTTGCTCTCCTGCCTTCGAGCTTTCCCTCCAGTATGGCTTTCAAAAGTGTGTTATGTCTTTTATTATGGCCAAAGTATCCCAGTTGTCGCTTCTTTATTTCTTTCAGCAATTCACATTTGTAGTCCCATCAGAACCTCTGCAGTAGACTGCTTTTGTTTCCATGAAATATGACCTTCTCTTCTCTAAACAAATATGAATGCTGCATTAAATAATTGAGAAGCGGCTAGCCTCACGAGGAAGACCTAGGTTTGAATCCTCTGTAAGGCTGGGGATTTTTTTCTGTCGAGGCAAAATAATATCCTTACCTGCACAGTCATGGCAACAGCACTAGCCATGCGGACACCGCAAAAGTGGTACAACACAGGCAGTAATTGGCAGTTTAAAAAAAAAAATTAATTATCATTACTATTGAAGAAGCTGAAAATGGAGAACCACTAAAATCATTACTAATAAACTTCAAACATTAATTAACTGCTGCCTGTGCAGAACAAAGGGAATTAAATAGTGTGACTGAATCACTAGTATAGATGTTGAGGAGAGAACTAAACAAGTTCCAGTGAATCACCCACATGGAGAAGAAAATTAGAAAAATTAGGTTAAAAAAGACTGGAAGGATATGAAAAACTTCAAATAAAAGCCTTAAAAGTGTGATAAACATTACAATAACCATTTTTTAAACTGTCAATACTATTGTTAAGGAATGAATGAACAAACAAACCAAATTTATTTTCAAAGGGTTACAAAGTGGGCACGCAAGGATGTTTAGCATGCCAGTCTTGAATCATTCGTCACAGAAGTCACATCATTTTATAACTTCCTACTCCCCTCATACACTTGCACAACTGACAGGCTTGCATCACCGTACCAAACCTTCATTCATCAATGAATTTCTGCAGGTTTCAGCCCATCACTTTTCAAAAACATGTACGACAGAACGCTGTTCTTCTTTTGGTGCAAGTCAACAGGGAGTTACCATCATTTAACTGTCATTATGACATCACCATGTTCATCTGCACTGTGATGTTATATGCTAAACATTATTGACATCCTTTACAACAATAATTTCAGGTTACAAGAGAATGATGTGGTTACTATAATTTCTATTTCATATGTGTTTATCGGTTACTCCCTTCATACATTTCAAAAGGAAAAGGTGGGGGTTTTCATATAGATTAAACAAATTATTAAAATCTTTATTAGCGACCTTGTAGCGCCTAGAAGCTCGCCTGGGGATCGGAAGGTCGTAGGTTTGTGTCCTGATGGAGCCGGACATTTTTCAAAAATGACCTTGGCTCTCAGGTCAACCCAGCTTTGAGTAAGTGCCAGGTGCAGTACTGGCAAGTAAAGGCCGCAGGCGTGATGCTTACCACATCACCCACCAAGTGCTGATTGGTCTATAAATTAGAGGTCTAGCCCTATATGCCCAATACGCCTAAAGGCGTCGAAAAGGGTTCTTAGTGACCTGCATCAAAACAAATGTCTTTTTTTTAAGTTTTTTTTTGGGGGGGGGGGGGGGGGGGGGGGGGGGAGGATCCGGGTAATTGTTGTTTTCTTTTACAGAAAGAGGTTACTGATTGTATCCTATACTGTTATTTTTTTTAACCTCTTTCTTACCCTCTAATGTCTTTCTTTAAGTTACATGCTCAGGATATGGTGTGGAATCAGTTGTACTAGTCGTCCCCATGTGGGATGCAATTGTTCATTTTTTGAAGCCCCACACTGGATTCTGCCAGGGGCCCTGAATATAGCAGGGGCATAGATATGGCCTAGCCATAGATATGGCCTAACTGGTGAAAGGGGTTTCTGGGACCTCTCTACGGTTGATCCTCATCCGCATGGTGGCACTTTGTGTCACTAGATGTTTATTGCTTGTGTGATGTCCTGGTGGGTACAACTACCCACCTACCTACTTGAAAGGGGTTTCTGAGACCTCTCCACGGGTGATCCTCATCCGCATGGTGGCACTTTGTGTCACTAGATGTTGATTGCTTGTGTGATGTCCTGGTGGGGTACAACAATGAGAAAGAGAGAAAGAGATATGTAGTGTGTTGAATTAATGACAAAGAAAAGCTGTTACTTACTTGCTTCCGGAGCAAACATGTCATCAGCGGCACTTAGACACAACAGAGGCTTAGCTAGGGCATGTATCTTGTTGTGTATAGAAGCCTCTGTGTAGTAGTGATCAACAGATTCAAAGCCAAACAACTTGGACGTGAATCGCTCGTCAAAGTCCTTTATTGTTTCACTCTAACATGCAATAAAAAAAATTTTTTTTATGATAATTTGCAATGCAGTCACGTTTTTACTGCAATCATTTTACAGATGAGATTAAAGACAAATATAATGACACAATGAACAGTGAAAGAGATGATGCTGACAATAAATACTTCCTCTTCTTCTTCTTCTCTTCCACCATTTACCTCAGCGAGGTGTTGGGGGGAGATGTAAGGAATAGCTTGTGCGCTTTTTCCAATGCATTGTACAAGTTGGTGTTCAATTCTTTTAGGTTGCTCCTGATGATGTTGCTCCATCTCTTGTGTGATCTTGCCTTGCTGTGTTCATTATATTTCTTAAGTGTGGCTCTCTGTAGCAGTTGGTACCAGGGCATTCTCGTCAGGTGGCCAAAACATCTCACTTGTTGTTCTTTAATGAACTGTTTGACCAGTTTCAGTCCTAGTCTTCTTCTAATTTCTTCAATCCTGATTTTATCTCTTCTTGTCACACCAGCAGCTCTCCTAAATACTGAAATCTTATAAATATGTGTTTTCTATAGCATAATGAATTTAGTAGTGTGTAATGTAAGTTTAAATAAGTATTCTGTTTTTGGTCATTTCAAGCAAACCGACGGATTGGACACAATTATAGCAGAAGGCATGGTACCAGGAAAGAGGGGCAGGGCCGATCGACACAAAGATGGGCACAGGATAAAGGTGACTCCTTGAGTATAAAAAGTACATGAGGCAGGAGAGCTGGCGAGAGGCTGAGTTTCTTTCAGGCAGACCGTGATGAGAGCAACGTTCTGCAAAGGACCTACTACATTATGATTCTATGTAAACAAGTATTCTTCTTCTTCTTCTTAAGGTTCACTGGCTGTTAACTCCATGGTTATATTCTGGATGTTCATCCCCTTTTGAACTTTGGTCTTGTTCCAGAACTTTGAGGTTTGCACACACATCAGTTTTAAAGATTGGCTCATCTGTATGCAGACTTTTGGTGACTTGCTTCTCATACAGATACCCTCTGATTTCAAAGGAAACCCTTGAATTAGTTGCTTTTTAGAACAAGCAGGTTAGGGAGCAGTGGGTCTATTCTGCCCCCACCCCCCCCCCCCCCCCCCAACCCCCTCCCCCATCCTTAAGAAACTGCCCAAATGTGGCCCCGAAAGCCACACAGAGAAAACATCAAACTTATTATCATCATCATATATTAGGCAAATAAGTACAGCCAGTCATGGTTCACATCCCATGGTATCACAAGAACCACCGATCCAATACTATGCTATTGTCCTGCCCCATCCGTGTGGCCAAGCCATCCAGGTATTTCTCTATCTATATCTTGTTCTTTTTTCCATCAAGCTTGCTAGCTGTCAGCACTTTTTTTTTTTAAAGTTTATTACTTCTTACATAGTGGCCCAAAAATACTGACTTCTTTCTCTCTTATCAATATTTTCATCTCTCTCCAGGAAGACCTGTGGCCAAGAAATACAGAAATGTTCCAGCTGGAGGCCTGAAACTCTAATCTTCTCACAAGTGTTTCACTAGGACTGCACACACTTTTCCGGGCAATCTTAACACTGTTGGAAGCATTTTAGGAAGACTTCTTTGGCAATCAAGTACAATTTGTTAGAGCTGGTCTACACTGCACCTTCTTGTGACTCAGGTCACAATGAGCTGCATTTTCAGCTTGGTAGACAGCAAAGAATTCCAAGGAGTGACTTTGAGAGAACATGGAAGCTGACTCACCAGAGAAACTTGGGTTTGGCCAAGAAAATCTTCATCAGAAGCAAAGAATGGCAGAGTCTGATGATCTGAGGAAGCTAAGTTCCTTTTGCCTACAGATCCCATTTTATTTTGTAATGAAGAGCATCATCAAGATAATACTCTTTTGTAATACTTTAGTCCTTAAGAAAGCAAATAGGGACTTTTGAGCTGAAATGCTACAGAAGGATTCTCAGAATACAATGGGCAAAGACAAGAAGACATACTGACATTTTAAAAGATCTGAACATAAAGGAAGACTGGCTAATAAACAGCTTCTTGTCTCAGAAACTGAATTATTTTGGTCATATTAAGCGCCATGGCAGATTGGAAAAATAAAAGCATAAGACAAGGTACCAGGAAGGGATGACTAACATGAAGATGGGCACAGGATATAAGCGACTCCTTGAATATGAAAGTACATGAGGCGGGAGAGTTGATGAGAGACAGAGTTTCTTTCAGGCAGACCGTGATGAGAGCAATGTTCTGCAAAGGACCCGCTACATGAAGATCAATATTTTGGTGTGTCACGTGTACTCCCGATAAACCTCACAGATAAAAAAATAGTCATGAAGACTGATGTCATGAAACGTACTCATGATGCACACCTCCATACAAATGAAAAAAAATAATAGCCATAAAGACTAACGTTGTCTTCCTTTTTACCCTCAGGGCTGAGGAAAGCCTCCACTATAATGACTGCACCTTGGTTTATGCATCCTGCCCATAAACCTACAGGTCGTCACTAGTGACCACAGAGTTAAGTAAGTTGGTGTCATGGTTTGTCCAGCATGCCCTGCGTGACTTCCAGTTTCCTCGACTCCATTCTTCTTTCTTCGTCCTTGTCTTTTTTTTTTTTTTCTTTTTAGTTCTACTGCTTATTCCATAAAGAGACACAGAGATTTGTGCGATTTGTTTTCAAAAAAATGACATCATACCACTCTAGCATTTCCATAACCATTCCATCCATCTTTAGCAGCCAGTTTCAATACCAATGGCACTAGTAGTATTATGATTATACATCTGTCTTGTCTTTCCTCTGAGCGTGGAGTATAGGCCAGAACCCCTCGTCACTCCCCACTGCATCATTTTCACCAGACTCACTTCTTTTGTTGTTTTTTTCAACCGCATTTCTGATACATCTCATCTTATCTTAACGGTTACTATATCATTTCATGGAACTCACAGGCAAAATGGAGTGTACGGAACCAATGCTTATCCCCACCTTGTCTAAGATCCTGGATGGTGACATGAAAATTCTGGGTGACCAAAGTCTTTACTTGGTCAATGACCTCAACATTTAGGTTTGTTAATGGTCTATCTATGGCTAGAGAGTGGCCTCCTTTGATTAGGCTTTGCGAGTCCGACTTGTAATTCCAACAAACTGTGATCGAAATCCACTGCTGGCTATGGGGATTCTTATCATGGTATGGGGCGTTGCAGGTCGACCCAGCATAAAAAGGGTACCAGGATGGCTGTCCTGGGAAAGTAAAGATGGCTGGCGTAATGCTTACCACATTATTCACCTAGTGCCGATGGTCTGTAAAAAAAATATAGGTGTTCTTCCCATATGCCCGATACGCTTAAAGGCGTGAAAAGGGTATCTTTACTTACTTTATGGCAGAAGAAATGGCTAGAGAGTGACTTTCAGGTGTGCTGTGACAAGAGGGGCGTTGTGTCAAGGACCTTCTGATTGATGGCCCCTCTGGCACACTAGGTAATGACAGAGCTGACAGACTGGCAATGAAAGGAGCAACACAAGAACAACCACCCACAGTGACAACCCTACAGACAGCAAAAACACTTACAAAAGCTATAAACAAAGAGACTTGGTTGAACAGATGGGCCATGGGAGATACTGAAAGGGAAGTTTACAGACATATGGCTGGCCCTGACCCTAATGACAGCATTAACCATCTAACAAGGAGGTACTAGCATGGAAGTACCAGGCCGCCATCTTCAGACTCAGAACACAACATATTCCACTCAATGGACATCTACACAGAATACAGCCAGAGTGCCAGCTGTGTAACTACCCAAATGAAACTGTTGACCATTATCTATTTGAGTGATTAAAACTCAGCAAGACTAGAAGAATGCTACTCCCTCCAAGACCAGACAAGTGAAACACCACGTACGGAGAGAAATAACAGCTTGTAAAAACATGTAAATTCCACTATATATAGCATTAGGCCAAAGCTCATGCGCCGCTGGATTGATAACAACTGCTGATGATGATGATGAAATTCTATCTATGGCTGTAATAGTACCTTCATCAAAATAATGCTTAATCTTCAAAATCTTTGTGTGGGTTCCAGGACTTGGGGGGTGGGGGGGGGGGGGGGGGGGGGAACCGACCAACTGTCCCCTAACAAACGTAAAAGTTATAAAAGTGGATATCAAATTTTGAAGAAAAAGAAAACAAAAAAACAATAGGGAAAAAAGCAGACAAATTTAGATATCCTCATAACATAGCAGGTAATATACAGAATGTTGCCCTCATCATGGCCTGCCTAAAAGAAACCAGATCTCTCGCCAGCTCTCCCACCTTGTGCTCTTTCCTACCCATGATGTCACTTTCATCCTGTGGCCATCTTTGTGCTGGTCAGCCCTTAGCACTCTTTCCTGGTACCATGCCTTCTGCTATTATTATTTTGCCAGTCTGCAATAGAGCTTGATGGGGCCAAAATATTTCAGTTTTCCAGACAATATGAGTTTCATTTTTGGCTTCTGTACATTTTTCAGGATAATAATGTGTTAGTTCCCCTTGTTTTCTTCATCCAAATGGCTTTAGGCTATGTCCTCAGCATCTGACAACCTTTCAGATTGCCAGGGACAAGTGAGTGTCCTGAAATATATACAGTAAAGAAAATACAGAAAAATTTGCAACATACTTTTAAAACATGGGCCGGATCAATGTCAACATGTTCTTCAAACAGATGAAGGTTTCTGCAACAAAAAAAACAATTAATTGGCAACATTGACTTTTCCACACAAACATCTACACGCTATCAACCATGTATCTTCTATCCTTTCATAATTATTGATTGTGGAAAGTGGGAGAGCTGCGTGGTCTCAAGGCATGGTGTCCGCCTAGAGTGCTAGAGGTTCCATGTTCAATCCCCGGTAAAGGCTGGTTTTTTCAAGAGGACTTGGACTTCTAGTAATTCCCCCTTGTCTCTGGGTAGTGAGACTGGACGCCTGTGTGCATTGTTGCACACGTAAAAAATCCCTTGGCAGTTGGAAATCGACCCTCCTGACACAGCCCTCCAGAAAGTACCTAACAGGGCTGCCCAGGCAAAAAAATGGAGTTAAAAATCTACCCAAAGTATTTCAGAATCCTCGCCAGTACTATAGAGCCTGTGCCCCGTGCTGATCTTCTTCAGACTCAGACTTGAGTTAGAAGAAGAACAGAGCATTTATGGGTTACTATCCGTGTGCAATGATGTTGATCCGCTCGCTGTTCAAAACCTCAAAAACCTGATTGAGGAAAGCACAGATATGGACAGATACATGGCTTCAATAACTACTAAAGGCTGCATGCTTTCTCTAAGTCATAGACATGCCAAATACTGTTCTTCTCCATTCAACTTCAACAAGCACTCTCTGCTTTAGCTGCTTTTCTTCATTTTCCTGCCAGGGAATCTTTAAATGTTTTTCTCTCTCTCTGTCTGTCTTTCTCTCTGTCTGTCTGTCTGTCTCTCATTCTCTCTCTGAGTTGAATGCTCAATGTTGAATTAAGAATCAATATTATCACAGCAACTGGGACATTCTCAAAGGCGCTGTGTCAATATCTTCATCAGCAAACACAGAGTTCCAATTCCGATGGCATCAGTAACAGTCTGATTGTATATCTGTCTTGCCTTTCCAATGGGTGCTGAGTGTTGGCAAATCCCCTTGTCACTCCTCGCAGCACCATTTTCCTCAAACCATGTTGATCTATTTGTGCCTCCGCAGTTTACTTGCTCTCAAAGGGCCCTTATAACATCTAGCTTGTCATGCAAAAATTCACAATCAAGTGTGTAGAACCAGCCAGTCTATCTGCCTGTATGTTTTTCAATACACCAGTATGACTTGGAGAAGATATCCAAACAACGCTAACTACTACAGACCTCTTAGGTGATGCTTGCCACTCTGCATGAAGCATAGCTGTCTCTATCTTTCTCAACATGCTATGTGAGTCAGTTACAATTATGACATGTTGTACAGCTGGTTCTCAAGCCAGTGGAAGACCGCAGTGACTGCCTCCACCTCCATTCTCAAAACAGAATGTGTAGTAGTGATGAGAGTGATGTCCTGCAATGGACTTTCTACTGTTGATGATAAAATGACAGGTAAATCACACACATGCACCTTACTTTTGAAATATTTTACAAAGGTTGTTTGCCAGGTGCCTATTAAACATCCAATAGTTGACTGTCTTGCTCAAAGATACCCATGACTGATGTAAATCGTAGGCAGGGGATATAATCATAGCTGCAATTAGTTCCGCTTTCGAACCTTCACTTGCTAAATAATTGAAGAGGATAATTCTGAAATGTAAACATGTACCAACATCATAATTTGGAAATAAAGAATTCATATGCATATTTGAATAGGACAGGAAAAAAAATTGTCTGTATTAATTTCATTTCAGTGCTGTGAAAACAGTTTTTTTGTTGTAGTTAAACTTCACTTTTTCTTTCCCTTCTTCGTGTGTTTTTTAAATCTGCCTTTTTTTCTACACCCCTGTGGGTTCCAGTGTGAAAACCCTTCTAGTCATAATGTCCCCAGGTTTTCTTGCATGTTCTATCCAATGCCAGTGTCCTTTTCTCACCTCCTTACTTACCAGAATCTAATTAGCTCTTTCCCTAAGCTCAACACCTGCGCCTTCTATCATACGATTTAATTTTATTTACTCTGTGCAGGCACCAGTTAATGAATGCCCAGTTTGTTAGTCATTGTTCCAGTTGTTCTTTATACCTCTGCTCCACACAGGAAGGCTGCAAGGCTGCTGTACTGCCTCCACCTCTATTCTCAAAACACAACCCTCCTGACACAGCCCTCCAGAAAGTACCTAGACAGTTTGAGAAATGCCATTCTGGTCTCAAATTTGATGAAAGGGAAAATCCCAAACACACATCCAAGTGGTGGAGGGTGGGAAACACACCATGGTGTGGCTAACGCAGATATGAGGACCGAGTATCCACCGGAATAAGTTGATAACTCCACAGCTGGGCAGAGAAGGTCACCCACTTGTCCTGACAGTCAGAAATTACTGTCAAAGGTTAAAATACCCTATGTGGATGTGGAAGGCAATGAGAAACCACCACATTTTTTGCCTTAGAAAACTCATAAGAAACTCACCTGACAACATAGCAAAAATTTGTAAGTGTAGTGTTTCGTTTTAATTTCCGTTGAGTGAATGAAGATTTTAAAAATTTTTTATTTACTTTACCATTATCTAGCCCCGGTAAATGATGCTTCTTGTTCAAATCCAGACTTGCCATTAAGCAATCACTTGGGAAGAAGTCTGAGGTTGCATTCTAAGACCAGATGTGCTGTCTTAATTGTGATTTATTATTTGTTTAGTGAAACTATGAAGCCGTCTATCTGCTTATTTCCAGGTCCTCCCCTGGCTCTACAATGCAGTCTTTATTTTAGTCATTAAGTTTGTTTTAGTAGTTCACTTAGTATCATTTCCCTTTGTCCAAACCAGTTTATTTGAAGAAGAAAAAAAAGGCAAATAACAGATTTTTAAATTTAACCTCCAGTGCAAAAACAAAAATACCCCCCCCCCCCCCCCACTCCTTTTCCAATCCCTCAAATTAAATGAAAAGTAAAGGATTAGTTTTCATATCTTAAGATATCTTGCACATATATTGCAAGTCCCATTTTTTTTTTTTTTTTAACTTAGCGGCATTCAGCACAGGATATGGTGAATATTACACTAGCCTCCTTTACTTCCTTAGATATTTCCTGATATTGATGATAAGCTGGCAGTCCATGTTAGTTTTAAAACAGGCTTCGTTCAGGATTTTGGCTGGTAAGCAATCATGCCCCCCACAGCTTCACTGTGATTCAGAAAAAGGACAGAGGTCGACCTAGAAATATAAGAGAACTGAAGACAAGAGCTCAAGATTAGGGGAAAGACATAAAGTGGGAGCTGCAGGAGTAACCATAGAAGGTCAGCTCAGTGTGACCTGGTTGGGATCTTTGCTCCAGTTGGGAATCAAGAAAGGAAAAGAAGAAGAAGAAAAAGAAGAAGAAGAAGAAGAATATGAGAAGAAGAATAGGAAGAACAGGAGGAAGAAGAAAAAGAAAATATAATAAAGATCCTTTTCCTTTTACATCATGCCAGCGGTCCCCCGTGTGGGTTCCGGGGCCCCATTGTGGGGAAAACAAGAATAGACCCACTGCCTCCCCAAAAGCATGTCGTAAGAGTCGACTAATTGGGGAGCTTCCTTTGAAGTCGGAGTGCATCTGCCGGAGAGGCAAGGAACCAACAGTCTGTATTCAAGAGAATGAGATCTGTAAAACTGATGCACACGCAACACTCAGGTTCTGGAGCAGGACTGCAGTTCAGTAGTGGACGAGCAACCAGAACCCTCCGCCAGAGTGTACAGCTGGTAAACGCGAAGAAGAAGAAGAAGACATGCCAGCGGCGTATCAGGCATATGTCGGCCAATCGGCCTTAGTGGCTGATGTGGTCAACATCACACCAGCCGTCTTTACTTCCCAGGACCATTTAAGGCTGGGTCGACCTGGTAGTCAAGGTCACGATTGAAAAATATTCAGCTGTTTACAGATTTGAACCCATGACTTTAAGAAGAGATAATACAGGCAACTAACCCGCCCAGTGAAACTCCAACACCCATAAGTGGTGCGTCTGGATATTTATCTTTTATGTGGCGGATCACCAGCTTGACGTCCTCAATGTTAGCTGCACAGTATGTACGTGGTGACTGAAATAATAACCACATACTGAGATTCACTGGACAACAAAGAATATTTAAAAAGCAGGGAGTCTTGTAAGAAAACAATTATCAGATGGCAGTTTGACACTTCAGGTTAAAAAAGTTCCTCCTCTTCATCTTCAAGTAGCAACAAAAATAATTGTAAGGCTGGGGGTTGCCACAACATGAGGAACTGTATTAAAGGGTACAACATGAGGAACTGTATTAAAGGGTCACCACAACATGAGAAACTGTATTAAAGGGTCACAGCATTATAAAGGCTGAGAACCACTGGTCTAGTTATCTCTGCAAAGTGTCTGAGGTGAGTTCATCTGGGTTCTCTTTCTACTGCACTGTGTAAGTTGGTCTACATTTCTTTAAAGTTGTTCGTGATGTTATCACTCTTTCTTCCTCTTGTTCTGTGATAAGTTTAGTGCTTGGTGTTGCCCTGTGAGCTGTGTTTTTCATGTGGAATCCATTCATTTGTGCAGTGGTTGTATTGTGGTATTCAATATGGCTGGTAGCCAGTTTACTGTGAGCAGTGAAATACCTTATATAATAATTCTATGTGTTTATAGCCACCCTATTGTGACAGGCTACTTAAATCAACGAGAAACTACATTTCTGGTAGTCAGTGTAGGCTGTAGCATCTCTAGCAACCGCCATATGCATTTACCGCATGCACATATTTCTGGATTTCTTGACATTTCATTTGATTTTCACTGGCACAGGAATGGAGCAAGTAAGGGAAAACCCGTCTTCAGTGAAGCTGAAACCTTGACTAGAACTGCTGAGAAAGGTGAAGACAGGGATGCTGCGAGCAGAGTAGCAAGCTTTACTGGGAAGGTCACGGGTAGTGAGCATACTTTGGATCTTTTCTCCAGGAAATGCTGGCGTAGTGGGTAATGAACAGGCAGACAGATTGGCTGGATCTGCACCACTGGGTGGTAAACTGATACATGGCAAGGCAGATGTGGTCAAGGCCCTTTTGGAACAAGCAACAGACTCAGTAGAGAAAGACGGTTATTATGGCCTGGAGAGAATGAGGCACCTGGGTATAACCATAGGGTCTGGCCAGCTCACTACACTCAGAGGAAAGGCAAGACAGACATATAACCAGATTGCAACCGGTACCATCAGTAGTGGAACTCTGCTCTGGCTGCTGAAGATGAGGACAGAGCACACATAGGAATGCTTCTAGTATTGTGATGTCAATTCTTGACTCAACTCAACTCAGTCATCAGAGCCAACAGGTATGGTCTCACATATGTTTAGTTTAAGAGGGGGCTTCAAATTAAAAATGTTTCAGTGTGACAGAAATTACAATAACCACAACATTGTCTCGTAACCCATCAATAATGTGAAGGATGTAAAAGATATTAGGCAAGTGACATCATGGTGCAGACAAATATAGTGAGCTCATAATGACAGTTTAAAGATGTATCCCCCACTTCTGACATGCACCAAACAGCAATAGCATTCTGTTATCCGTTTTTTTAATGAGTGAAGGGGTGAAACCTACAGAAATTCAATGGCGAATGCAGGTCCAATGTGATGATGCATGCTTGTCAGTTGTTCAAATTTATGAGTGGAGTAGGAAGTGTCAAAATGGCATGACTGGTTTTTTATAGTGTTACTATTCTTTGTCTTAGTGGCTTAGCTGTTGCAAAAATGCTTCATAATGCCAGGGTGCCAGCTGCAAGTTTGTCTTGCGTTGGTTTCGACAGTGGTACTGATAGTTGACTGTTCAGTTAGCATTGGCAAATGACTGAACGTAAAATTTGCCTAGAAAAACCATAACAGCCAAAAAAATGCTGGGGTTGGTTCTGCAACATCTTTTAAAGGATACGGAACAAACTTTTTTTTGGGAAACTATTCTTTGCTTCTCTTAATGATTTTGGGTGAGACATTAGCAGTTTCTGAGCTCATTTAGTACCAATCAGCTCACCAAAAGTTTACTGATTACTCCTTACATGTCTAACCATCTTGCTTCCCCCCCCTCCCTCCCCCCGCATCTATTACCCTTGTTAATCCTAATGTGTTCCTTAATGTTGTTAATATAACATCTCTGAGCTTAAGACAATTTTTATCGTAGATAACACAGAAATCAAGGAGTTATACTGACACCTGCCTGGAAGTGAAAGAGTTACACAGAGTCTGGAAAAGAAAACTCCACTCAACAATTATAGCATACCTTTAAGCTTGTACCTCCTGTGCCTCTGTTGTTAAAAACCACACTTCTATATCCCATGCTTGTATTATCCCGAACCATGTGAAGACAGTAGTTTTCTTGACTGCTGCCTGAAACATCATCAGTGTAAAAATAATGAGTTATTTAATAGAAACTACTGGAGATTTGCATACTACACTCATGTGGGTTCCAGGGACCCATTTTGAAAATTCCAAAAAAATTTTTTAACATTTTTCCCTAACAAGCATGTCATAAAAAGTGTCTAATTAAAGGTTTGTTAGTATCACATCTTTAGGACAGAAAGGTGAAGATAACACACCCTAGCTTTAAACCACATTACATGACAACTGTGTTTTAAAATAAAATTGCAGAAGAAGAAGAAGAAGTAGAAGAAGAATGCTGGAGGTTTTCATCATGTAATTCATGGCCACAGAGGCAAAAGTTATTTCCCTGTATTCTCTCTACTAGAAATAATCACATTGTGGTTAGTTTCTACAAGGGTGCTTCAAATTAAAACCTTAAAACTGTGACAGAAATAACAATAACCATGCCACTGTCTTGAAACCTGCCTTTACTTTTGTAAAGGATGTCAAGAATGTTAAGGATGTGATATCAAGCTGCAGATGAACACCTTGACAACATAATGACAATTTAAAAATGGCTGCCCCACTTTGGACATGAATCAAAGAGAAGCAGCATTGCGTTATCTATTATTTGATCAGTGAAGGGGTGACACCTAGCGACATTCATTGGTAAATGAAGGTTCAGTATGATAATGCATGCCTATCAGTCCAGCAAATGTATGCGAGGAGTATGAAGCATCAAAATAGCTGCAATAGACTCTGGAGTCACTACTCGGTGTGCCTGACCCGGTCTTGAAGAGTCGGTCACAGAAGTCACTGTAAAGGTAACGCACATTTAAGGTTTTCATTTGAAACCACTTGAAATATTTAACCAAGCCCACAGGACAGCAGGTTACTTCATAGCAACAGAGCATCCCAATATAACTGTTTTATAGGTTGACATGGTATCTGGGATATGCTCCCGTTTTATTTGCGTCATCAGTGTCTTTTTCTGCACTCATCTCCTTTCATATGATTACAAAACTATATAACTTCACTACAAGCCTGTAAATGTAGAGTACAAGCTATTGTAACTGGAACACAGACCAATATAACTTAAACACAGGCCTTTATAACTGACTGACTGACTTTCTACCCCACTAGGACATCACACAAGCGATAAACACCCGATGACACAAAGTGCCACCATGTGGATGAGGATCACCGTGGAGAGGTCCCAGAAACCATGTTCAGACAATTGGCCATATTTATGGCCTGCCTATAATGCGGCCCCTGGCAAAAGCCAGAGTGGGGCTTCAAATAACAAAAAATTACGTCCTAAAAAGGACGTAAGGAATAGCATATACCCATTAAAACTGGAACACAGGCTATTATAACTTAAGCAAAAGTCAGTATAACTGGAACTATAACTTAAGCAAACGTCAGTATAAATGGAATTATTACTTAAGCAAAAGTCAGTATAAATGGAACACAGGCCAAAATAAGTGTAAAACATGCCACTATAACTGGTGCACAGGCCAGTATAAGTGGAACACAGGCCAGTATAACTGAAGCACATTCCAGTATAACTGAAGCAAATGCCAATATAACTGAAGCAAATGCCAATATAACTGAAGCAAATGCCAATATAACTGAAGCAAATGCCAATGTAACTGAAGCAAATGCCAATATAACCAAATCAAATGCCAATATAACTGAAGCAAATGCCAATATAACTGAAGCAAATGCCAATGTAACTGAAGCAAATGCCAATATAACCAAATCAAATGCCAATATAACTGAAGCAAATGCCAATATAACTGAAGCGCATGCCAATATAACTGAAGCACATGCCAATATAACTGAAGCAAATGCCAATATAACTGAAGCACAGGCCAATATAACTGAAGCACAGGCCAGTATAACTTAAGCACAGGCCAGTATAACTGAAGCACAGGCCAAGATAACTGAAGCACAGGCCAATATACCTGAAGCACAGGCCAATATAACTGAAGCACAGGCCAGTATAACTGAAGCACAGGCCAGTATAACTGAAGCACATGCCAGTATAACTGAAGCACAGGCCAATATAACTGAAGCACATGCCAGTATAACTGAAGCACAGGCCAGTATAACTGAAGCAAATGCCAGTATAACTGAAGCACAGGCCAGTATAACTGAAGCACATGCCAGTATAACTGAAGCACAGGCCAATATAACTGAAGTACAGGCCAGTATAACTTAAACATATGCCAGTATAACTGAAACACATGCCAGTATAACTGAAACACATGCCAGTATAACTGAAGCACAGGCCAGTATAACTGAAGCACAGGCCAGTAAAACTTTAGCAAATGCCAGTATAACTGAAGCAAATGCCAATATAACTGAATCACAGGCCAGTATAACTGAAGCACAGGCCAGTATAACTTAAGCAAGACCAGCATAACTCTAACAAGAGTACAAGCCAGTATAACTTCAACAGTGTACCTGTCAGCCCCGGTAAGAAAAGTACAGTTGGTCTGGTCTCATTAGGGTAGTGACTCTTATCATTTTCTTCCCAGTCTAGTCTTATTTCTCCTCCATCTGGTGTCTTCAAATAGTCCCTAGATATGAAACAAATTATATCCTTTATCTTCAGAAATAAAACAAAACATCCCCTCCCCACCCCAAATGATCTCATTACTGTTACCAACTCAAGTCAAGTAAAGGACCATTTTCCACACACTCAGGTGTATTGAGTATAAAGAGCTAGACCTGTGTTTTATAGACCAACCGGCACTCTGTGGGTGGTCAACATCATGTTTGCCCCTTTACTTCCCAGGACTTTACCTGGTACCCATTTCAGACAGGGTTGACCTGAGAGCCAAGGTCGCTTAAAAAAAATATTTTGTGACTAATGCTGAATTTGAACCCATGACCTTTGGGCACACAGGCTATCATCAAGCTGCTACACCACAGGGAGCTCTCGTCTTCAACACAGGGGTATTGTATGGCGATATTTGGTCAGCAATCCCAGGTCCCTGGTTCCTGCTGTATGGCATTCAATGCCAATGCCAAGTTATGTTCCTCTAGGGGTAGCACTGTTAAAATGCACAACAGGCAGACGCGGCCACATACTGTGCCGAATACTGAACTAAGGTACTTGAAGTAAACATAGTTGACGGGCAAAATACATCATGTTTATTTGTAACTGTCCACGGGATCATGTGTGCGTGACCACGAAAATGAATATGGTAGAATGACTGTGATGAACTAAGGCAGAATATCTCCTTTTACCTCCAAACCGAAGTACTGAGCTTAAGCTCCTTGCAATCTGCAGCAACAAATAGAATATCTCTTTTTACCTCCAAACCGAAGTACTGAGCTTAAGCTCCTTGCAATCTGCAGCAACAAGTAGAATATCTCCTTTTATCTCCAAACCAAAATATTGAGCCTAAGCTACGTGCAAACTGCAGCATCAAACACAGATCCAGATAAGCTTCTGTTTTCCAACCTTTGGCATTAACACATTTCTAGCAACTGTGAAGCATTCAATTCTTGTGGGCAAGTGATGTCGTGTGTGTGTGTCTCTCTCTCTCTTTTTACTGCCCCCTTGGGCCTGTGATGCTAAACCCTCTGGGACTCAAAGAGTTAAACAGTAAACTAAGATTCAAGACCATTGCCTAAGCAGACAAGTGTACTAACACCAAGTAACTATAGTCCCCCAAACCAAACCAAACTCCCTTTTTGTACTGCTGCTGAAACTCAAGGCAAACATATGAATACCAAATAAAGTACAGAAACATAAGCGATCAATGAAGAAGCTACTAACGTTTTATAGTTATGTAATGTAACAGCTGTACTTGAGGACTTCAGTACAAAGATCTTATTTCTCTTCTTCTGCCTTTTTTAGTCCCCAATGGAGCATAGGCCCTCACGAACTCACACACAGTTATTCTATCTTTTGCTATCGCATGTAGCTCTTCCCATGTCTTCCCCATCTTTCTAACTTCATTCTTCAGCTTCCTACTCCATGCGTTTTTTGGCCTTCCTTTATTCCTATGCCCCTGTTGGTTCCAGTGCAAAGACAATCTAGTTACATTGTTCTCCGGTTTTCTCAATGTGTGTCCTATCCAACGCCAGCGTCTTTTCTTCACCTCTTGGTCCACTGTAGCTTGCTTAGTTCTCTCCCAAAGCTCTACATTAGTGTACAAAGATGGGATATTTCAAACATGTGAAAACCAAACTCGACTGTTTGCTAAGGCAACTATGTAAGGATTGAGTGAGATGACAGATGGGCAAAATTATATGACAAATACAAATACAGTAGAACTCCAATCATTGTCATTAATCTGTTCCCGAGGGGTGGACGAATATTAAAAAGGGCAAATATTGAACATGTTTTTAATATCAGATTTATCCCAGTGTGGGCTCTGGGGCCCCAATGAGGGAAAAACAAGAATAGGTCCACTGCATCCCTAACAAGCATATCATAAATATGGTTTCCTCCGAAGTCGGAGTGCATTTGCCTGTCACACAAGGAACCACTGTCTGCATACAAATAAGACAGATCTGTAAAACGTATGTGCACACAAATACTTAGGTTCTGGAACAAGTCTAAAGTCCAGAGGTGGATGAACAACTAGAACTTTTCGCCAGAGTTTACAGCCGGTGAACGTGAAGAAAGAGAAGAAGATATAGGAATAAATCAGAAAGGGTTTCATGCGTTCCCAGCCCTGAATTTTGACTTTCTAATCTTTAACAACAACAAAATTTCCCTCAAAAATCAATCTCGGAAATCAATGCAAATAAATTTTTACTACATATTCACCACTGAATATAATACTGCTTTATCACTGTGATAGAGACCTGACCACCTAAATTTACTGTTGGTCAACATAAATACATCAATAAAATTGTCATAAGAAATTATCTTTCAGATGAAAAACAATGTTACTCTCAGCATTTCTAGATAATTCACCAGCAATAGTATTTTAACTTTTTTTTTTAAAGTTGAATTAGGAATCGACATCACAGCACTCAGGACGCTTCCATAAAAGCTCTGTCCCCATCTTCAGGAGCAAGCAAGGAGTTCCAATGCCGATGGCACCAGTAAATTTTGACTGTATTTCCGTTGTGCACTTCCCCTGAGTGGTGAGCGTCTGTCAGATCCCCTGCTAACTCCTTGCAGTACCAACGTCCTAAGTCCGTAATGACCTATCTGTGCCTCTGTACTGTTCACTCGCTCCCAAAAGGCCCTTTTAATATCTAGCTTGTCATACATCAATTCACCACTAAGTGGTGCAGAGACAACCAGTTTAACTGCCTGCTCATTTCCCAACACACCGGCATGACCTGGAGAAAATATCCAAAGGATGCTAACTAGCTGGGAACTCTGAAGTGATGCTTGCCACTCTGCACGGAGCATGCCTGTCAGTATAGACAATCACATCACCTGGGTAAGAATTGTATTGAATCATTTGTTGAACTTCTTATTCTGCAGCACCAGCTGGCCAGTCCCAAAGGGATTAGAACCCTACCCAAGTCTGAAACCTGATCGGACACTCTGACCCACTCCTCTCCTTGCCTAAATTTATCAAGCCTGCACACATGTCCAACTGTCTCTTCAGCTTGTGCCATCTAAGACTTTCCTGTTTTCAGTCTGTGTTCCTTAGCTCTATCCAGGGCTTCATGCAGGAGGTGCCTCTTGGTCGCAGCTACTTTAAGATATGACATTGCTTGCATAATTTTGAGCCTATCTGCAATAGTAGGCAGTGCAAGTATATATCGCATACATACTAGCGGGGCATCTCTCTTGGTCTGGACACGTGTCAAGACTACCACCAGAAACTACACCACAGAAAGCTCTGCCACTTAGACATATTGGAAACAGAGCCAGAGTTCGACCACGCAAACGATGGATAGATGGAATATTTGAGGCCGTAAATACCAGCATCTATGTAGCACATACCAAGGCTTTCATGTGAGGCCTTTTCAAAACTTGATGCTGAAATGCAATATATGACTAGAGAAAGAGAAAAAGAAGCAGGGAAAGAAGACGCAGCTGCAGAAGAAGAAGAAGAGAAGGAGGAAGAAGAGGAAGAAGAAGAAAAAGAGGAGGAGGAAAACAAGAACAAGAAGAAGAACTGCTTCATTACTACTGCTGGATTTACCACTAACAGCATTATTACAGCATGTTCACTGCTTCAACACTGCTGCACGTTTACTATCACTACACCATCAAGCCAGCATGATGCTGAAATATCATCCATAGAGTGTCCACTGGTCTATTAAACATAGGTCAAGCAGTACGTGCTCAATACGCCTAAAGGTGCTGAAAAGAGTAAGTATAGTAAAAAGTAAAGGTCCCTTTTCCATGCCTTTAGGCGTATAGGGCATATAGGGCTAGACATATTTGTAAAGACCAACTGGCACTTGGTGGGTGATGTGGTCAGCATCACGCTGGCTGCCTTTACTTTCCAGGACTGCACCCGGTACCCACTCAAGACTGAGTCGACCTGGGAGTCAACGCCATTTTTTTTTTAAAGTCCGGCTCCACCAGGGAGCGAACCCACGACCTTCCGATCCATGCGCAAGCGAATAGCCGCTAAGCCATGGGGACTCCAGCTGAAAATAGTCCTTTACTGTTTTTACTTTTAGAACATCAGGCATGCACAAGAAGAAGCCACTTGTTATCTTGCAAATAATGTTCACACAGAAAAAACACAAACAACATCCAAGATATTTACGCTCTTCACATACTCGGTGTATCTGATGGGTTTGTTGGACTGGATGAGGACTCTCAAGAGGGTCTGGGCGTGAGATTGAAAGCACCACCAGGTTGGCCAGAATTTTTCTTTCGAGACGGAGCAGTATTTGTCCAGAAACTGAAGGAAGGCTCTGTCCCCACAGGCTATAACAGGTTTCTGGGAACAAGAACACAGAAAACAAGCCTGTAAACTAAATACTGTTTAATGCAAGCAATAAAATGTCTCAGCTATTTCAAAACCATGATCTAAAAATGTTACACAATTCAACTGATTATATATGACAATTTTGTGGGTTCAAATCAGAACGCAGCTGAAATTTTTTTTAATGACCTTGGCACCCAGGTCAACCAAACCTTAAATGGGTTCCAGGTACAAGTACTGGGAAGTAAAGATCATGGGCATGATGTTTACCACACCACTCATTGAGTGCCAAGGTATATAAAATATAGATCTAACACCATGTTCCTGATACACCTAAAGGCATGGAAAAAAGTAAATTTCTTTACATATGATAATTTCCTATGTAAGTTGCGTACCAACTGTCCATTAACAAATATGTAATAAAAGGGACCTTTTTAATGGTTTTCTGAAAGGGGATGTGATGAGCTGAAAGGTGCAGATATTGCAGCCTAGCTGTAAACCACAGCACAACAGACCAACCACCATTTTAAGGGTGAACATAGAAGAATAAATGTTTATGAATAAAGAAGAACAAACAATAAATTGCACAATTTATAGCCTGGCATATTTCACTGTTATCTGATCAAGTGCAGACTACAGAAACAGTTAATTAAATTGAACAAAATTAATCCTTCTAAATGAAACCTAAAATCCACTGCATTCAAAAAGCAGCATTTGTTTGAGTGTTTGAACTTTTTCATAGGTTTAAAAAAAAAAGTTTGTTACGTATCCTGTACAGGATGTTGCGGAACCAACCCCAGCATTTTTGTGGCTGTTTTTGTTTTACTAGGCAATTTTACATTCAGTAGTTTGCCACTGCTGTCTGAGTGGTAGGTTCTCCATACCCATGTCAACATCACTGTTAATGGGTATTCAGCTGCATGCATTAATCAACACTCCTAGCCACCTAAACCAACTTCTTCTTCTTTACGTCCTCTTTTACCGCTTTGGGTGTCGAGGGAGATATAAGGTCCTGCTTCGTGCTTTTCTGGCTGCTCTGACCAAAGACACATCGTGATACTGTAGCGTGTTTCTCTAGTGTTAACCTTCAATCTTGTTCTTGAACTACCTCTTGCTCTATATCCCTCTCCTCTTGTGGTATATGCCTAGAATGGTAAAGCATCAGCAGGCATTCTCTCCAAGTGGGCAAACCAACTACAATGGACATTTTAGTGTCTAAAAAAAACAAGTTTATGTCTGTCTAACTTCACAATGGGAAAACACTGCCCCGATATACATTCAAGGAATTTCTGGTCTTTTTATTTACAATGAAATAAAAAGGTAAAATGTCAGTAATGCACTGACAATTGTTATCCTCATTATCTGGTTTATTTTACCATATGGGTTCCGGGGCTTCGCAGGGTGAGGTGGGGCGGGGGGGGGGGGGGGGGGACTTCTGGACAACCAGATGTTCTGGTATAAGACTAAAGTGGGGATGTGGATGAACAACCAGAAGTTCTGTAACAAGACTAAAGTGGGGATGTGGATGAACAACCAGAAGTTCTGTAATAAGACTAAAGTGGAGATGTGGATGAACAACCAGAAGTTCTGTAACAAGACTAAAGTGGGGATGTGGATGAACAACCAGAAGTTCTGTGACAAGACTAAAGTGGAGAAGTTCTGTGACAAGACTAAAGTGGAGATGTGGATGAACAACCAGAAGTTCTGGAACAAGACTACAGTGGAGATGTGGATGAACAACCAGAAGTTCTGGAACAAGACTACAGTGGAGATGTGGATGAACAACCAGAAGTTCTGTGACAAGACTAAAGTGGAGACGTGGATGAACAACCAGAAGTTCTGTAACAAGACTACAGTGGAGACATGGATGAACAACCAGAAGTTCTGTAACAAGACTAAAGTGGAGATGTGGATGAACAACCAGAAGTTCTGTAACAAGACTAAAGTGGAGATGTGGATGAACAACCGGAAGTTCTGGAACAAGACTAAAGTGGAGACGTGGATGAACAACCAGAAGTTCTTTAACAAGACTAAAGTGGAGATGTGGATGAACAACCAGAAGTTCTGTAACAAGACTAAAGTGGGGATGTGGATGAACAACCGGAAGTTCTGGAACAAGACTAAAGTGGAGATGTGGATGAACAACCAGAAGTTCTGGAACAAGACTACAGTGGAGATGTGGATGAACAACCGGAAGTTCTGGAACAAGACTAAAGTGGGGACGTGGATGAACAACCAGAAGTTCTGGAACAAGACTAAAGTGGGGATGTGGATGAACAACCAGAAGTTCTAGAACAAAACTAAAATGGAGATGTGGATGAACAACCAGAAGTTCTAGAACAAAACTAAAATGGAGATGTGGATGAACAACCAGAACTTTCTGTGAGAGTGTACAGCCAGTGAATGTGAAGAAGAAAAAGATGAGGTTTATGAACACATAAAATTAAAACATATATTTTTATTTTTGGCTTAAAGCATTTCATTTTTTCCCCATAGTTTGAATATGCAGTGAATGTCAATTATACTAACTTTGTTTTTGAGGGGTTTGTTTTTTAGTGTGTGAGCTTGATAATATGGATAAGAATTTCCTAAACTCATTTAGAAAAAAATCAATTCAAAGCTGGGTGATAAAATAGGCCAGGTGCCTTTAGTATGCTCAGATCACAGTTTGTGTTGCGTAGTACACGCTTATAATAGCTGATAACACATGGGGCATAGCTTGAGGCCAGTTAGTTAACTTGGTATGTTCTGTGTAATAAACAGATGCTCGATGTGAGAAGCGATGAGGCCGTGCACGTGTCTGTGTGTGTATGTTGGGTGTGTGTGTGTGGGGGGGGGGCATATTCTTCTGGGCACTGATCAACAATACCTAAAACTGGTGGAGGAATCACTACAAACTCAGGCATGAATCACAGCATGTTTTGTGTAAAATGATGACACCAGAGGACTACTGGTATTTAATAACTACTAGCTGCTTTTGCTGACAAGAGCTGCTAGCAAATTGTGTTTGCTTTTACTGCTAAGCTGTGATACCTGCACATTTTGGCCCAACACATGCAACTTCTGCAAACCATCAATTAGTTATCTTTTACACACACTTGCTAAGGGGCAATGAGTCTATTCTTTCAGGTGCTTTATTAATATCCTACCCCAAACAGGGGAAATCCACAGGTCACGGGACAGTCAAATAATTCAGGGGGTGGTAGATAGGCTGCATGCAGTCGTGGGACCTAGGCTGCACTCTCTCGTGGGACGTAGGTGGGTTGGGGTTAGGGCCAGTTCTAGATGTTTTGGGGTTGTTAAAAGCATCAGAAAACCTGGAAACCCAGTCTTACGACCCTCTAAAATGTTGGACTGTCCTGTGAGGTCATCTGGGGGTAGGATATTAATAAAGCACCTTCTTTCAGCCTCTACATCTTCACTTCCTCTTTTACAGCTTCAGGTGTCGAGGCAGACTCAGGTTCTGCTTCTCGCCACCTCCACCACAGGCATATTGTGCCATTATAGAGTTTCTCTAAAGCTATCTTTCCATCCTGTTCTTTGTCTACCTTGTGCTCTACATCCTTCTCCTCTTTTGGGATATATCTTGTATGGTATCACATCACAAGGTATTCTAAGTGGGCAAACCTTTTTAGGTGCTAATTTGTATGTAACTTAGAAATGGTTCTTTGCCAGCTTCTTCTCTTATGACCTGATGTCTGATTTTTCTCTCTACTGGTCACTCCTGTATCCCTTCTTAGTCACATGATTTCCATAGTTAATAACTTTTTCATTATACCTCCAAAAATAGGGCTACAGACCAACAAGGGAAGAAACAGCCTCTTTACAGATTTGAAGTTCTAATACCTGTCTTGCACACCTTATTGGTTGCTCAGCTAAGAGAAGGGAAGACCTCTGCAATTCTATCCCTTAGAGCAGTGATTCCCAAACTGTGCGCTGTGGCACCCTGGGGAGCCACGATCTCTTCACACATTTGAAGATACACAAGTTTTATTTTTTTAAATCTCTTACATACGGTCATACTTTTACTTAGATTAGGGCGCCATGGAAACATTTTAATTGAAAAAAGGTGCAGCAAATAAGAACAGTTTGGGAAACACTGCCTTGGAGAATTACTCTGGTATCTGGTTGGGGAAAAGTCCCTCCCCCCGCCTAAATCATTTTAAGAAACACAGGTTTTCTCTGGACTCGAAGGTCTGAACACACTGCAATAGACTTAAGAAGTAATTTAATACTCAGTTTTGCAAAAGATTCACTAACCCAAAAAAAGGGAGAAAAGTGATGCTGGTAAAAAATGTGAAAATTATTGTGCCTGGTGCCCACTTCAACATTTGTCTGGGGTGTTTTTGTTCACCTGGTGTTGACCTGTTTTTGAATTGACCAATCAGCAGGTGGTGAGTGATAAAGTCAGGGTCAAGATGGCCATATCCACTTTCCAGGACACTACCTGGTACTCATTTTAACTCTTTCAGTCCCAGGGGGTTTAGCATCACAGGCCCAGGGGTAGTCAAAAAAGTAATAAAATCGGCGCATCATGCGTTCATTGGGCTTCTAGGTAGGAACCTATGAACGTATAATGCGTTCCTTGGGTCTCAAAGAGTTAAGCTGGGTTGACCTGGAAGTCAGAATCAATTTTATATTTTGTAAATCAGACTCAGTGTGGATTTGAACCCGTGACTTTTGGGCTGGTAGGCAAGCGTCTAGCAAGTATACTTTAGAGACTCCCAAAAAATATTTAATGTGCAAATAAAACTTACCTTTACAACATAGAAGAGATAATAAGCTGCATATACACCTGCAAAACAGGTGGCTGCTGCAAGCGAGGGGTTGTCCATCATTTTAGTAAGGGTTGATCTAAAGACTTCCATTATCCAGCAGAACAATTAACATCAACTAATCCTCAACTGTAAAGCTGTAAGGATCAGAAAAGAAATATGGCTTACAGATGGTACATTCGGTACTAAAGTAAAAGCGCCAAGAAAAACATAATAAACAGCATATTCATACAAACTGCTACCAGTGCCAGACTTAGACATTATCAAAGGCTAACCTACTTAAAATTAACACTTGCGAAATGAGATGCCTGCAAAAAACCACCAACTTTAAAATCCAAGCCAGAGATAGAAATGATATTATCAGACAGACCGAACGAACAACACCTTGCAACAAGTTGATTGAGAAACAAAAGATCAAATGGTTTGATCATTTAGTAAGAATACAGCCAGAGCAACTATCAATGCAGGGGCTTCACATGAAAAGATCTGAAGTGGAAGCAAGAGACCGCCCTAGGAGATGACATTAAAGAGCTTCTACATCGTCATGGAATGACAACAGCCACTGCTACCCATCAATGGATCACAAACTGTTTATCCCCACAAAGCTTAATGACAGAAGTAGAAATTGATGATGATGATGATGATTGAGTAATAAGCACTATACTTGTTCATTTTTTTTTTTTAGGAATATGATATACTTTTCTTGTTGTGGGTTCAAGCTGTATGATCAGCCTGGCTAATGATGACATATTTTATAGGGGCATCGATTTTCATAGGGGCATCGATTTTCATAGGGGCATCGATTTGGTCCTTGTTCCTTTCTTGTGGCCTCTTCAGTTATTCTTATACTTCTTATCCAATGTGTTACAGTAAACTGACAACAACAACAAATCTGGCAATACTGTTGGTATTTACTACTTCTGTGCTGTAGACAGGGTTTGGGGTGGTGGGTTTTTGAATCTGAGGATTGATTGATTGATTGACTTTCTACCCCACCAGGACATCACACAAGCGATAAACACCCGATGACACAAAGTGCTACCATGCGGATGAGGATCACCGTGGAGAGGTCCCAGAAACTGCGTTCAGACAATTGGCCATATTGATGGCCTGCCTATATTGCGGCCCCTGGCAAAAGCCAGAGTGGGGCTTCAAAAAACAAAAAATTACGTCCTAAGAAGGACGTAGAAGGACGTAAGGAATTACTCACAATCTGAGGATTTAGGTATGAATGGCTGGTGCAGTCACCATGGTCTGTGCAAGTTAGGATTTTATTTTTGTCCCCAATAGAAAACCCATAACCTTATCAAGTCTGACCTAGAAGTGACCCTAAGCCAAGCACTAACCCTAACATTATTCTCAAACAATATAAAAACTGAAAGAATATTATTATTATGTGAAAATACACAAAACAATGGATTGTCTACCTTACGGTTGCCATAAACACCCACTGATTATATCCCCTAGAGTCACCGCTGCAAGCAGTGTCAAATATTGTATTATCATGCATAATTCCTTGACGGTTGTAATTTTTTTTCACGTTTTATATTATATTTATTAAAATATATCTGGTTTTTTATGTGTGTCTTCTTACTGATACCAGGTTGTAGCCCAGAGTTGTGGTTTTCTGTATTTGTCTTGTGCTTTTTGGACGGCTTGGGTCACAGATTTGTTCATCTTTTTTGCAGGTTTTAGCTATACCATATATCTATATCTTTATTAGTCTCCCTCTTGCCTCCCTCCCAGAGGTTTTGCTGTAAAAAGTCTCAAATGGGGTTTGGTCTGGCTGCATTCTCACTAGATGACCAAACCATTTCATTCATTGTCTGTCAACATAATCCAGGCATGGTCTTATTCCAACTTTCTCTCTAATGCTGATATTCGTAACCCTGCCTATCCTTGTGTTGTTAGTAACCTTGCAGAGTCAGCGCATTTCACATATAGTTATTTCCTGTGCTAGTGCCCCATTCATTGTCCATTCTCGGAACTCATAACATAAAGTAGGGATAAAGATGCTATTAATTATTTGCTGTTTTGCTGGAAGGGAGAAAGGTATCTCTCCAATGACATTCTCAGCTCTCCAACTCTTCCAATAAAATCCCCCAGTATGTACAAACTATCAGTATCTTTAACTTTACTGAAAGTTTCACTTAAAGTGTCAAATAATTCTTTCTTCAAGCTTGTTTGTATCATTACATTGGGCATTTACTTGGATGTATCTCTTTGTCTTTCTTTCCACTAATGTTCACACATGCACACACATGTTGTAATTGTAACAGACTCTGAAGGCATGCTAAGAAAGGTGAAGACAGGGATGCTTCGAGCAGAGTGGCAAGCTTCACTGGGATGGTCTTGGGTAGTGAGCAGACTTTGGATCTTTTCTCCAGGCTATGCCGGCGTTGTGGGTAATGAACAGGCAGACAGATTGGCTGGATCTGCACCACTGGGTGGTAAATTGATACATGACAGGATAGATGAGGTCAAGGCCCTTTGGGAACAAGCAACGGAATTAGTAGAGAAACAAGATTATTATGGCCTGGAGAGAATGAGGCACCTGGGGGTAACCAGAGGGTCTGGCCGGCTCACTACACTCAGAGAAAAGGCAAGACGGACATATAGCCTGATTGAGACTGGTACCATCAGTATTGGAACTCTGCGCTGGCTGCTGAAGATGAGGACAGAGCCCCAATGCTGTGATGTCAATTCTTGACTCAACTTAACTCCACTAATGTTCCATCCTAAACATTGTTCTATCTTGTTGTTCTTTAACATTGCTGGTCCGATGCTGGCGAGCTAGGCCCACCACGTGGTGACAGGTAAAAATCTGACCTGGTTGGTGCCTGTCTCATTCCAGGCGAGCTATTGCCCCATTAGCCTGAAACCTGAGTTTTCTGGTGTGCACCACGAGAAGGTGGCATTGACCTGGGTGCTCTACGGATCATTGGCAGGCTACTTAAATTTCATTTTTCACCTTTCGGAAGAGAAGCTAGCTAACCTTAACACTGCTCTGTCAATTTCTTCTTCTTCTTCTTCTCTTTCGACATTTACCTTAGCGAGGTGTTGGGGGGGGGGGGGGGGGGGGGGGGATGTAAGGAGTGTTGCTGCACTTTTCCAATGAATTGTACAAGTTAGTGTTCACTTCTGTTAGCTTGCTCCTGATGATGTTGCTCCATCTCTTTCGTGGTCTTCCCCTTGCTCTGTGTTCATTATATTTCCTCAGTGTGGCTCTTTGTGGCAGTTGGTACGAGGGCATTCTTGTCAGGTGGCCAAATCATCACATTTGTTGCTCTTTAATTAATTGTATGACTTTTTTCAGTCCTATTCTTCTTCTAGTATCTTCATTCCTGATTTTATCTCTTCTTGTCACACCGGCAGATCTCCTAAGACATCTCATCTCTGTTGTTATGATCTTCTGCTCATTAGTTGTAGTGAGGCTGTCAATTTCCATTATTATAAACTAATTACAAAACTTATGCCGAATGGTCTATAAAATATAGGTCTAGCCCTATATGCTTAAATGCATGGAAAAGGATCCTTTACTTATTGTTATTTTTAAAATTACAAAACCTCAGTGAAACTGTCACATCATCATTAAACATTTATCGGCTTTTAACAGTGTTATTTATTTTTAAAACTGAGTGACGTTCAATGAGCGATAAACAGCCAATAACACAAATTGCCACTATTCGGATAAGAATAACCCGGGTACTTCTTCTTCTTCTCTTCCACCTTGTACCCCAGCGAAGTGTCCGGGGGAGATGATCCAGAAACAAAGAAGTACAACATAGTCCTAAAAACCCCGTTTAAACGTTAGGTTATAGTACGACCCCCGACTACAGCCGGGCTGGTGCTTTAAACAAATCGTGACCCATATTGGGTCGACGTTAATTAAATTGATTTTTTTTTTTTTTTTTTTTAACTGGACATAACTAACTGGCCATCTATGTCCAAGTAACTACGTTCTGCCTCTTTATTTAGATCCTAGGCCTAGATATCTTAGAACTAAGAAATTACTCGGCATGATTTATCTTGGTTTTAAAAAGTAAATAAGGGTACATATTTTTATATAACCATGTAAACAAACGATAATTATCACTAAAACATATATTTAAACGTCGACACGGTGTCAGAAGAACAAACAGACACGACGATGTACCTCAACAAAAGGACAACTCCCTCCTCCATATGTATCATACATGTCGTCTGAAACGGTGACTGTCCGTGACCCCAACAACCCCGTATTTATCTTCCGGGTCGGAAAGGATAACTTGAACTCTGATATACTGATAGCACACGAAATGGTAATGGGAGCCAGAACAAATAAAAAGAGATAAAAATATATAGGATATGGGGTGCCTTTCACAAAGATGAAACAGAGGACTAAGCCCCCCTCACAAATTTTCAGCGGGCCCTCAAAGGAACCTATATCTTGTTTGAGTACTTAAAAATATTTCTGAATGTAAAGTAAAGAAAAGAAAACATTGAGAATACCCCTGCTATGTATGTAGGTTACATATTAATAATTACAAACTATTTACTCTATTGCAAAGAAATATGAACTCCAAAGGGCGCATCTTAATGAATATATTATCCGTTTCAATAAACATATGACAACTAAAAACATGCCGGGAGTAGATGGTTCTAGAGAACTACAGGGATTAAACTCTACATCACACATACAACCATTAGCACATGAGATGTTATTGTATCTTAAGACAGCATAATGGTATACCAGATTACTTTTAATATCCAAATATATGGAATAAACAATATAATCGCTATAATTGTTTGAAAGTACATTTAAAAAGTATTGAATATGACAATCTGTACCCCAACAAACTTATAAATTAATACATAAGCTAAGTGATAAGCCTATTGCGTAACCAAACATATTTGGTAGACATCAATATACTTATTGAAACAACACACAGCCAGTGACACAATCATCGCACCTGCTGTTTGAGACAACATTGCAACAATAAAAAAAATGTGCATAGTAAAATATGCTTATTGTGGACTATTTCTGAGGACAAAAGCTTGACAGGTAAAATGTTTACATTCCTACAAGATCTCACAGATGACGATGGCATCCT